AAAAGATCTGATCATCTGCAGTTTTCCAGATGATTTATATAATTGACTAAATGCATGATCTTTCGTCAAGTGCAGTGCGAATTGATGGCAGGTTTGAAAAATTATACCGTTCAAAGTTCAGAGCAAAACAAGGAGTAGTGAAGTGTTCGTTGCGGTCTGCGATGTTACTTGACTCTGATTCACAAGCTAAACGAAAGAGTTAAACTACGACTGCAGAATGAGCAACATCTGGCTAACACTCTCATGCAGTTGCTGATGAAATCGACCTGTTAGCAAACAACTTCTCACCTGCCATATCACTGTTTCTAACTCTGAAACTGAGTGTTCTGATCTGGGTTTCTGAGTGGATCAGTGGATGGAAACTGGTAGGACTCAGACCATCGTCTGTTTGGCCCTTGACATCGAGATTTTGCAAATAGCACCAGAACGTTTATATCCTGGGAGAACGTCGCAGACTGAAGAGCAACAAGTGAAATTCAAAGGCACTGTGGTTTGACACTGGCAGTGAGCAACAGGTTACGAAAGTTCTGGACGAGGGTGCAGTTATCAGTAGTATAGGGCTGCGGATATACGAGGTTCGCATTCCGAATACATTGTTTTATGGCCCAGAGACGGCAGCCTTTTAATATAGCTAGAAGAAGAAAACTGGAAGAGATGGAAATAAAGATGTTAAAATTAATATTATTAGCGAAGTGGAACGATCCTATGTCAACTGCAGTTGTAAGAAGGAGGTATGAATATCCAGCTGGCCAGTCACCGACTGGCTGCAAACAATGCGTTTAAGATGATTTGGCCATCGTCAGCTAACAGACGATAGTCGCTTTGCGAAAAGAATACTGGCAGGCAGCTTCATGGAAGACCTCCAGCAAAATTGGAAGAACTGCTTAAAATAGACGTGACATCGAAGGGGCTTAAGAATGAGCACGCATCTATTCGATCCAAGTAGAATGCCTGTACCGTAATTTATGTCGTCTTCAATGCAATAGGATAAGAAGAAAAGGACGACTTATTCATGCCTTACGACTGTTAGTGAATCAGAGAAGAGCAACTTTCAATATCATTCATTTTTACAGATACAAATCACACGGTGGATTCCAGAGGCCAGAGCGTTTGACTGTCGCAAGGACGTTTAACAATAAGTTTATAACATTGGTATAAGCAGTAATATCAACTGTTTATTTGTTTAGCTTTTTAATGCTTAACTAAAACACCGTAATCAAAATTATTGCTTTGTCGTAGTTGTCATTTTACTGCTGATTTGTCAGAACCCCTGAACTCAAAACCTGATCAGTGACTGATAACAATAGTGATATCATTTGTATCTGAAGTCATGTTTTATTTCGTGTAGGAAGAAAGCTACTTCAGATACCTTTCACACACAGCCAAACATAAAATGCACTATATAAATGACACAATCGTAAACTTCGAATTTAGTGAACATTCTGTCATAATTAACGTTAAAATGTTCAAAATCAGATGACAACTATTCTGCAAATCAGATAGTCGTTGTCTTAAAGAGTACATATTTGTTAATCGTTAGAGTAAATATGCGCAGCGGAAAACGTGCTCTTTAATTAATATTATATCTTCTAGTCTAACAAAATATTAATCTTCAAGGCAAACCTGATTATTAAACAACATTGACGACTTCAACAAAGAAATTCAACTTATGAGCCGAATAAATAGCCTGGTACAACTCGGTTCAAATTTTGAAATCTGTGTACATCTTTTCATTACCCATATTCAAGAATTTTCCAGCCTTGATTAATCTTGATCAGCATGAAAATCTTGCAACTGTTCTGTCTGCAAAACAGCCTCAGGACCCTGTTCTACTGTTCACCTGCTTCTGTGATACAGTTAGAAACGTATGTAAATTAACAACATGATAAATTCACGAGTACCGTTCGTGCTACGTCAACTTACGCTAAGCTCTTTAAAATAAGGACAATTCTTTGCCCAGTCCACCTGGCGAAACAAACTGTGGTCAATCGCATGGCAGATGACGGCAAATGGTTCCACACGAAGCTTCTTCGCATGTTCTATAAAGTCATTTTGCCATTCGGCATCGTTAGTCAGCGATCGAGCCAGTTTCACAAGCAGCTCCGACGGACCGTTTGCAAAGACGGGGTCCGGTTTAACAACATTCAGAGGAGGGTGCACTGAATAGGCGCTCTGATTGGACAAGGAAGTGATGTTTCCATAGTAATTCAGGTTCATCTGAAAACTTTTGCTCGTTGGAATAGGGCACAGAGGCAGGGAACAATTCTCGTTGCTCATAGTAGTAACGGCAGAAGCTGGAAACGAGTTACTGTATTCTCGAATGCGAGCGAATGGCGCCGCATTGCCAGTCAACAAGGAACCAGACAAGCCGCTGTCGTTGAAATGCGTATAGTTCGGGTAAAAGTCACTTCCACTAACTGTAAAGCCAAAGTTTGCTGAATCAGGATCGTAAAGTTCAGGTTTCAGTTCTGACTTTAAAAGACGAAGGGGATCACTGAACTGCGAAGATGAAAACGAATGAGTTTGTTGATTTGACCATGACCTGAGGTTTTCATCCATACTTGCACTTAGTAAAGCTGCTAAATTATCACAATTTGGTATATAATTACTGGAATGCACAAGCGAATTGGGAAGTGTATTGTTGTACGATGACAGATTCAAATAATCTGAAACTGTCAGCAGACCGTTTGGAGGCGACCTTGTCGACGACGTCAGCGTTGGGCTCTGTATGTTACTCGTGTATGGTTTCATAGGACTGAGCTTCGAATCACAAGGCAAAATTGCTTCCGCATTAGTCGAGTCCGTAAACGGCAATCCAGGATCATTCGGCGGAGATGTGCTGCTGACCAATTGCTCAGACGAAGTGGCTGATACAGAGCCGCTTGGATAATAGCTTGGCATTCCCAATCGCTGATACGCTTGCATACGCCTCGCGCGGTCCCTTTTGTACATGGATCCAAACTTGTTGCGACCGCCTCGCATTCGATCCTCACGTACGGCTAAACAACAAGACCCATTAATGAAGGCCACATCAACTGCAATAAATCAACGGCAAGTTATTAGAACAAAGTCAGTTATGAAGCGACTTTCGTTCTTTGTTCTATTTTAGACTGAATGCTGAACGGATGATTAATTAGCATTTTTCCTCAATGCATTGTTGACTCTCTGATCAAGAGATTTTTTTTCGACAATGAAACACTTCAACAGGAGGATTTTTTGCTGCACAAACCACAAAACCTTTAGTCACATGGTGAATCTAACTATTCCGATAAACAATGCATAACCTTCGCCTCAACGATTGGCTTGCAATCACGTTATGATACCAAAATTTATTTAGGATCGAATGTTTCGTTTTTCAATTCATTTCCGGTCTGTTCTGTGGTTTTAAATGATTAAAAGTTTTCTCTCTGTGCAGTGCAATCACCAGTTTTGACATAAAAAGTCTGCGCACTAGTTTTTATGCTGTGCGTAATGTTCAGAATGCATGCCTGCAGGGCTCGCAAATTTACTTTCGTTGGTCATCGCGGATTCTCACCGAAACGCCATCACAACGCATTAAATCAAAACTGTTTCTTTCTCACAGTTAGCATGAAAGGACGATTAATTATTCAGGCTTGTATCTGAATGGCGTGTTCGCCGATGACCACTCATCGCCGTCGGTCGGTGTGTGCGAGTTTCACCGTGGTCTGTACGAGGAAAGGTCATTAGGTCATGCAAACTGTTCACCTTTCAAGGACGAATAAGAAAAGCAGACGCAATTTTCTTTTGCTTTTACGCCAGAGTGCATAAGCCATAAATACAGAGGACCGTAAATTTTCGGTGGGATCGTAATTACGACTCAGAAAGTGGTCAGTTTGGCATAATAACGAAAGCTTTTCATGGCTCAAACAGAAATCGGCGTATGACAAAAACCGCTTATAAAACCCCGATGCTACCGTAAAAATCGGGACACCGCCAAATTGGCAACGACAATGTGAAAACACGTCGAACTGCAGCCACTGCGCAGGTCTTACTGTAGTGGTCATTGGTGCCATACTTGTGGGCAGTATGAGCAGTGTTAGCTATGCAGATCGCCGATACGGACTGTGAGCGTTTGCGGATCATCGGAGACGTTTGAGGAACATGGGGCATAAGGTTTTAGTATGGCTTGCAGTTGGCAACTGTCAACCTCACTGTCCGGCCGTGGTCAAGTCGAATGGACGGCGATCGTTATCGAAGACACTACAAAAGGTCTCTGCGGCAACACTGATGATCGATGCCTTGATGGCCGGAAGCGCACACGGCGGCACATATATATATAATCCAACTGGACCCGACAACTCAGCCAGGCGACCGATACGGTCGCTGCCGCGGTCGTCGGCGTTCTGTAAAAGCCATTCGCTCATGCCTGGTCGTCGGTGGTCGGTCATCGGTAGTTGGTCGTCGGTCGTTGGTCGTCGTCGCCACAGTGCACGGCGTCGTCGGTCGTCGGTCGTCGGTCGCCGGTCGTCTGTTTGATATCGGTGCTGGTTGGGACCTAATTTTTGCACACGGCCAGCGTTGACATCTCTGCTCGTTCTCGTGGCCCTCGGCGAGATGATGTGTTGTGGCAAACCAGTTGTGAAAACGTGAGTTGGACGACGACGGCGGCGGCGGCGGCAATAACTCTGCCGGCTCGACGATGCGGTGCAACGCGCGTCCAAACTAGGTCGTCCATGCCATCCCTTTCTTTCTTAAGCTTTTTCACTTGAGAAGCCATAAATGATTTTACTTCACCAACGCCACAACAGGTTGCGCGCAGGGACCTACGCGTCAACGCGAATTTACCAGCGATTTCGAGCACAAAAACAGAGCACAAAATCGGCTCCGGCTCCTCCGTCAGTCGCACGTGACTCGAAGTTGTGTCGTTAAACGTTAAATCACTAGGTACCACGTTCAGTGGCATCTGACGGTACTGAGGCTCGGCCGACTCGCTACCCCGGTCGCTAGCAAACCGTGTGTCACCAAGCTGCTGTGCTGCCGTACGCCATAGGCGAGTAGGCGGCGCACGTCATAGAGCATCGGTAAAATTTCATTAGCAAAAGTC